GAAAACTGCAAGAAAACTTAACAATAAGCATTAATTTGATTCCACGCCCACATCGAAACTCCTCAGACTTTGACTGTGAAGAAGTTTATAGTCTCGATTTTTCAGAGAAAATCAGATTTTTGAATCAACTTGATTGCAATAATTAACCACAAAGTGAGATCTATCGGTGAACATCTGATTAATGGACTCCGCTTTAAGTGCTCATTGCCAACATGAGTGGTATCAAAATTATAGGATGATTTCTGACGTTTTCGCCTATAAATAAAGGCTTTAACCATTAGAACATAAAAAAACCTACTGCAGCGAAACCCTGTAATCAAAAATTAGATGGGTAGAACAATGGATTAAATCTCAGCCTAAGGCATTAATTTAAAAGTTCTTCTCGTCCGAAGGATAGATTTTCCTTTAACGATTGTTTACTTTCGTTTGTTTTGTTTTCTCTTTAAGTTTGATATTCAAGATAGTTGCAAGCGAAAGCTCCGAAAAAGGAAAATTATCGTTGCTAATTAAATTTGACACTTAAGGATGCCTTGCTTTGCTTAGCCATAGAGAATGAAACTGTTGCATCTCTAAACTTACCCGCAACATAACTTTTTAAATGCAACTTAAACCCTCTGCTTTGAGTTGCGTTCTCAGTGTGAAAAGTGATGAACACGCTAGTTCCAGTTACATTTATTTCATTTCCAGAGCCTTGACCACAATACACACCAAATCCCTGGTTCTTCTCGTTGGTAATATTCAAATAGTCTCGACTGCAAGAGAATGCTAACATATATTTTTTGTTTTTCGTAAGATGCATGGTTCATAATATTGCAAATAAAAATAAGTGCAAGCTGCACTCGTATTTCCTGACTGCATACACAAAAATCAATTATTGACAAACTGCAGTCTTAATAGCATGCTTCTCCTTTTTTAGTCTGACCTTAAGCCTTAAATGGGGAAATGGGAAATGCCTGCCAATTCTGGGGAGTACTGGTGATAGCCAGGCGAAAAGTTGGTTTTGAATCAATTGTAAAGTCAGAATTCATATCCCAAATGACCTCATGTCAAACATCCTTTTGGTCAGTTGGTATTGTAATGATTCATCTTAGGATTGTATGTTGTAAATGATTGAAATAGTTACTTACTTGCAATCATCACTATCCTCCAGATCAAAATCAATGAAGTAGATTTGCATCTGCATGCCTCGCGGAATAGTAACAGAGGACCCACAATGCATAGCCCTTGGGTGGCCACCAAGATATCCAGGACTTGTTAACGTTCCGTTTATCACTGGACCACAATCTTTTAGAGAAAGCATTTTATTTATTAATATATTTTACTCTAACCATAATAATAAAGAAAATTCCTATTGGAAATACAGCTATGACTGCAAATTATTTACACTTTCCATAAAGCGTTAATTTTTTAAAATCGTTTTAAAAATGAAAAAAGTATTGCATTTTTCTTCCGAATATGATAATTCTCTCCGCTAACAGCATGTGGCTACGTAATTCATCAAGTAGTACAATTTCATTAGTCTCTGAGAAACCCGAGTTTGATTTTCAAAGAAGCTTTGATTGATTCAGGCCCTATTTCTTTTATTTCTCCAATTGCAGTTCACCTGCTAAGATCCGTTTCGTGTTTAGTTATCATACACAGGTCAAACATAGTTTTGTTAATTTATTTGTGATATAAAAGATATTGCATGCTTCAAATTGACATCAGTTTCCTCACCTATCACAGGGAAGTCTTTTCTGTCAATACCATACTTGCTCGTTGCCACGCAGCTATAGTTACCTCCATGGTATACTTTGACACTGGCCTGGTCTGTGGTGTTCACAAGCACTGTAAATGGATCCATCTTTACTATCGCTGTATATATGGGGTGGGATCCCGCGGTGGAGCACAAGACTTGGTCGCCTGGAATTATAGGTTCTGCAGGATCGAGTGATGTTATTCTCGGTGGACCTTTCAGTATGAACCATAAACAAATATTAGGAAAATATTCACTATAATCATCACATGGTTACCTCAATAATTTTTTGAGCGACTCTATTAGCTAGGAGCAAGAAAGGGTCATCCTCCTCTCCTGGTAGCACATTATGGTTGTACTTACCATTTGAAAAGACAGCAAACTGTAAAAGGAATCCACTCTTTTCTTTGCTCTGGTCGGAGTGGAACACTATTTCAACGTATTCTCCAGCCACAAAAACTGTAGTTCCAGTCTTCTGACCACAGTAAGTATGAACTTCATTTCCACTGCTACTATTGATCTTCAAGTAATCATACCTGAAACAACAATATTTTAGAAGCAGTGAGTAAACGAGAAAATGCTCTATAACATACTGTACAAACTGAGAGAATGATGCAGACAGTTTTTAGAGTGGTATATGTTTGTTTGTATATTTATGCTCACCTGCAAGTTGGCTGACTGAACTCAACGTCAAAATAGACGAATGTAATTTTCATCGTCATTTCGTTTGGTATAGGTAAAGTAACGGTACAGTCCACATTACTTGGGTAATTTTTTGGAAATCCAGGACTTTTCAAAGTGTTGTTTACCACGAAGTTGCATTCTATAAGACAGATTGTGGAAATCAAGTTTGTGGTTAGTAAAATCTCTGAACTCAGTTTAACCGTGAACAAAAATTTTAGCATTGCCAAAGAACAAGTAAATTCTTATCTTGCTGTCTGTGCATTTAGAAAGTAACAGCAATACTGCTCACACTTTTTATAACATAAATCATTGACTAGCGGTATTGCTATGCCTGCCAGGGTAGAGGCCAGTCCATTGTTCAAATGATCAAAAAGGAAGCTGTGCTTGGCATGAAAAGCCAATTTCGTTCTCTGTTATTGCTAATAGATTTGATTTCGTTTTTACAAAGTTATAAATGTTGGTCTCTTTGCTTATTCCAAAGTTTTTTTTTTCACAGCTGCTTTGAAATTGGCAGTTCAGCTAGGAACATATCATCCTGTTGGTAAATCTCTGTATTTCAGCATAAGGGTTTTTTTGTTTTGTATTTTGCATTTTTGTTTTATTCAGCTCGTGTGGCTATCATTAACGTCATTGCAATAAGGTACATAGTGGGTAGAACCAAGACTAAAGAACAAGAAAATCAAACAGTCGTGTATACTCACCTTCATTTGCGGCAGCGCCTTCCTTTTCATTCCACATCAAAGAGAAAAGTAACAAAACGAAATTCATGGTACATGCATTTCTTTTCCGGTTCATATCCACATAGTTTAATGTCTTTCCGCGGGTAACAGTCATTTCTACAATAATAAACATTTCTGTAACTTTAGCTGGAGCTTCATTATTAATTCAGTCTTCGATTTACTTAAATACAGCATCTACTTTTGCAGCTCGTAAAAACGAGCAATGTTTTATTGATATGAATTTTTATCATCAGGGTTATGCGCCGCTGTTTCAAAATGCCACTGACCGGAGGAACATATTAAATATTCTCACATGTTTCTTAAGCTTCAACTCACGGACAATTGCGTGGATTTTATTTCCCAACATGGACACTAACATAAAATCAGTTTAAACATCAACCGGCAGAAGAAGAAAAACCGTCTAATTAACGCAGTGCGTGATAACAGCCTTGCACCTGCCGTCATCACAAACTTTTCTGAGCCACTCATTATTCATTTACCAAATATATATTGCTTTGATCTGAGATAAAATTTCATATATTTTCCTCAAAATCTGTAAATGAAAGTCCAAAATGACAGATGAAATCGTAAAATGAAAGAAAGGTTGATCAGACAGGTGTAATGGCAAAAAAATGACAATGTATGCAAAAGGAGATAAGCATTTCGAAAAATGACATCAATCGAAGGGCTAATCACGCTTCTAATTAAAAACGCCTTGTTCTTTGGTGCAAATTATACAAGCCATCAAATGAGAAAATTCGGAAAAAAAAAAAAAAAAAAAAAAAAAAAAGGAACACCAGATAAATTGCTACCTTAATTATAAAAGAACCGGCCCAGACTGGAGATCAGAGACTTGTTAATCAAACATTTACTCTAAACTGCTGATAGCTCACGTCACACATTGATTCATGATGTAGATCACGTCTCTGTTCAAAAGCCACATTTTTCTTTTCGCTGATAGGAGTAGTGCCTCCTCTGATGGTTACGGGAAAGAAATTATTAAACGAATGACAACAAAATTACGATCATTATACATTGAAAATTCGGCGCACGTAGTTAATACCGCTCCATACTTGGAATTATCAGAGCTACCCTTTTAAAGATTTTAATGCATCAGTGACTGTCGTAGAAATAGGCTTAAAAAAAAGAAATGAATGATACACTAAAGGCCGAATGATACACCAAGTATCAGCTGGCTTCTACAGTACTTACATTTAAGAAAGACGTTGCTGTTAACCTTTTAGAAATCTCAACTCTTTTGTTTCCCTGACTCAGAGCGGAACATTATGTTCTTCAGTGCTTTTCTCCACACTTCTTTCGCTATGGGTTTGTTTAGTATAATCTAAATTCTCACGAAGTACAACACACCCTAAAGGAGGCAGTGTGGCCAAGTTGTTAGGAATTGTGAACTGGTGCTCTCGGGTCCAAGTTCTCCGTCCTGCTTTACAATGGATTTGCGCTTCTTGGCTATTTCGAGCTCAATTCTTTAGCTGCGCTTTGTATATAGCCATCTGCCTCCGGTTTATCTACATGATTGTTTCAAATTGTTTGTATTGGCCTTGAAAAGCCCATTGGGAGAGTGGTCATTCAATGTCATTAATATTATTATCATAATTATGCTGTCAACGCATCAAATATCCCCTAATTCTGTATAGTAAAAGTCTACACAGGCTGCTGCTAGACTCTGTTGTTGGTTGTCGGTTATTTTTCCCAACTTCCATCCCACCCGTTGGTGCAACCATCAAACGATTCATGTCAGGTCTTGATAGCCTAAAATGCAGCTCATGTCACAATGCAAAGAATCCTTTTGAAAAACTGTGCAACAAAAGCCAATATGTATGGACGAGTAAGTGACTATTGAAATAATTACGAGGGATACGGCTCTACAAGGAAGACAAGGAGTATAAATTCTAGATGTGCCTTTTTTTTTCAAGAAAAGAAACAACGTGCATTCAAACAGACTCTAGAATAAGAAGAACATTTTCAAGACCAAATTATCAACATTCATGAATCTAGGAGTTGGTCAAGAGTTGTGGAAATAGTCCCATCATCTTAACTAAACAGGAAACCTTTTCCCTTCATTTTGGAAGAAACATAAATGAATGTCACGCCATGAAAAAGTTTCGACTTGAAGCTGTGAGTCGCAAAATGGGCACAACAGTTATTGGGAGCCTTTTCAATGGAAACGCTACATTACGTCATTTTGTCATTCAAGTCACTCTTTCAAACTTTAAAGTAAATTATATAACGAAAAAATATATTGAACCGCAAACCATTTGTATTTATCCTCCTTAAATACTGACTTGACCTAATTGCTTCCATTTACGGCCGTCATATTAATAACAGCTGAACTAGTGCCAGTGGACAGTCGAAATGTCGCGATCCACATCGGAAGTGAATACACCGCTAGATAGACAACTATCATTTACTACCAAGTGTAATCACCACAATTAATAACCACAACCTTTTCTACAATCGTTTCCTCAGGACAGTCATGCATAGAAAAAAAAGAGGACAAACACATCGCATTCATCAAAGGGACGCAGAGGGTTAATCGTAAAATTGCAAATCAGTTTGGCTCTAAGGCGTAAAAACTCGTACAAAAAATTAACCGTAAAAATTATACTATTAAATTATATCATCTTTGTCTTGTCTTGTGGCAAACGAGGCAAAACCGGAAAATTACTTAATATCAATCCAAAGGCGACTCGATCTGGAGTAATTCTTATTGTTTTACTCTTATAGTGAAAGGGTATCCAGTCGTTGCATACCCACGGTAGTTTCGTACCTAGTCGATTCGTATCCAAATTCAGCCGATTCGGTTCGTACCAGAGCCACTGGTCAATTCTTACCCGTTCAAAATATAAGTTCATTCGAAATACCTCACTCGCACTTGTCAGATGTCGTGTATGACAAATTCATAAATTCAAGCGAGTAAGATTCAAGGAAAATTCCGTTGTGTATACTTGTCACCCTTTTAACACAAACACTAAATCATTGCCTATTTATGTATTATCTAAACAAGCGGGCGCGTAACTTTTTCCAAGCGATTGCAATTTTATGTATTATTTGTCAAAAATTCTGTTAACCCTGACAGAAATAAATTGACTGTTAGCTCTAGAATGGCCAAAGTTGTAACCATTGGTCGTAAAAGCCTTCACCCCGATAAGACCCTTACATTAAGTTGAAAATGGATAACATATCTCATTGTGCGATCGCCTTATAATTTCCGTGAATCAGATTAACGATTTCGTGTTTTTTTTCTTTAAATTACTTTGATTTTTGTGTTTTTGAGATTTGATGTTTTTCTTTTATGTTGATTTGTTTATGTGTATGGTTTTTTTTTCAAATGATGCGTCGAGTTTTGGTTCCTCATGGCACTCACCACATTTGCACCCTCACTTAAACCCTGCATTGAGTCATCTGTTCCCGTTAATAGATAGAAGAGAGTGGAACTTGCCGTACTGAACCCATTCTTCCTTAGAGTAGAAAAAAATTGGTCCTTGGTATGATCTGCGTTCAGTTTTATTGTAATAGATGAACTGCGAAGTGGCAGTTTTTCTTTTCCTCATAGACTTTGTAAAAGGCTGTCCGATCGTAATGCAGCTGAGCCTCTTTTATTCGATGTGCTATGAAGTTTATGTAATTGTAACTACGGTCAGAAAGGTGATTTTATTTGTATCCAGCTAATTTCCTAACAAATGAACGTTTCGTTTTTTTCAATTAAGCAAAATAGAAGAAAGCAATTTGGATAAAAGGAACGAAAAGATGACAGTTCCAAATTTATCCGATGTTGTTGAAAAGGATATATACATGTATTTTGAGAATTGATTAAAAACAGTTTTTAATTTTTCTTCTCAAGTTACTTTTTATGTTGTCAGGATAATTAGAAGTAATTACCAGCCAAGAATTATTTACTCTTCAAAGAAATTACAGGGCTAAAGGAAATGTTTTCTTCTAATCAGAAGAAACAAACTGCATATAGATATGGAAAGTCACCTGGTCATCGTGATAATTTAACTCAGCCTGGGGCATGAGTCTTTGATAATCCTTTGAAATGCACGCTTTTATGTAAAGTTAAAGCTCTTAAGCATCAAATTAGGTAATTTAATTTTTGTCCTAGAAGCCATTCCATTAAAGACTTTTAAATATGCTTGCTACGATCAAAAACTTAATTTACTATTTTAATTACAATTTTTTTTTCGTTTTGAGAATGGTAGGAATTTTGTCTTCGCGTTTTTCGTTTGTGCTGTAAGTCTCATTAGAAGTGGAGCTGAGGATGAAAACATTCACTTAACTTAAGCAAGCGTTTTGATCAACAGTAAAGCATAGAAGTTTCTTATTAATATTCATCCGAATTCAATTATAGTACTAAGAAGTGCAGCGTCACTTGGTGATTTTAGAAGAGCAACACGACTACTTCCTTTCAGTTTTGATCTAAACATAATTTCACAACATTTTGCCTAAAGATGTTTAGAATGATTTTAATTACTGCAACTTACAGAAAGAGAACATTTTCAAACCCAGGAATACCCTATTATCTTATCAATGAGGAAAAATTATATCATTGGAAATTCATGGGACAATATCGGCTTAGAGAAGACACTTCTTAGAGAAGATTAAATGGTGTGATCTAGTTGCAATCAATTTTAATCCCAAGCTTTTCACCAAGTCCAAAAAAGTTGTGATGAAATCTAGAAAGTTTAACGGTACAAGCCTGTCATTTCGATGTTATGTTAAAATGTATGGTTTTAGAATTTACAATGAGATACATAGTGAATAATACATGGGCGCGCGTCGATATGTAATTTCTTTTCGAGTGTTAACTCGATAGCTCACGAGTGAGATGTCGAAGAAAAATTTCGTATCTTCAAGCAACCATGTATTATTTTGTGTATCGCATAAACACAAGAGCCTTTTACTGACAAGAAAAGTCAACTTTATTAAGGAATGGAAATAAAAGGATTGACCATCCCCAAATGAAAATCGTAGAATGCGTTGGCGCTAAGCTTTAAGATGAAAAAACTCGTTGAAACACTGCAAAAACAAACAATGGACGCAATTTTCAATACAAAAAATTCACAGTTATTGACTTTGTCCTTACCGACAGAAGGAATCTTTCAGGTATAAGGCCAAAATCGACCTGCTGCAAATCTACAGGTTGTCTATTTTTGTTCGGAGCCGCGAGAAATGCCA